AGAGAGAGAGAGAGAGAGAGAGAGAGAGAGAGAGAGAGAGAGAGAGAGAGAGAGAGAGAGAGAGAGAGAGAGAGAGAGAGAGAGAGAGAGGCAACATAAGATGGCGCCAGGCGCTGTGCGTTGAGCCTCACTGCTCGTCACCTTGAGCACACGCACACAATGAGAGATCACACGAAGTCCACACTGGAGTCCAGAGATTCAAAGTCCAGATAAGCGCAGCTTAGAATTTCAGTGGCTCATAACATACGTTGCTCTACCGGTTAAACAGCGGCTACATGGCAGAAGAAGAAAGAACGATCCAACCAGCTCTGACGTCTGTGCAGTCTGCTCAGATCAGGAAAAGGAAGATGTGATACATTGCCTAATTAATTGTAAAGAAGCCACAGACTCACACAGTATTGGGCAAAAGCAGAAGCACTATGGGATAGTCTATTCTCGTCTCCCCTCCCAGAGCACCCCCTTCAACTGCTCCTCTGGACTAATTTACCTTCTAACTTCAGCCAATCAGAGAAAACCTGGTTTGGGATGGTACGCAAGGTCACGTTATGGGTCATATGGAAGGAGAGATGCAGCAGAACACTGGATGACACGAAGAACCCACGGGAGAAAGTATGGGCAGCAACTAAAGAGATGATTGAAGCGGAAATCCTCTGTCATTTAATGGAGGAAGGTCAAACTCTGGGTGCAGAACAGCCCAGAGACAGAACAGGTGATCCTTGCCAAATTCAAGCGGGTCTGGTTGGTAGGTGACAAAGCGGCATGGCTAAATGGGCACGCTTTAAGATGGAAAGAGTGGCACAATTCTGTCAAGTCTGTATTCGAGCAGCAATACCCAGGTACATGAGGAACCAACTCCAATCTGGGTCTAGAAGAGCATCCAAGATTCAGGCGCGACACGCGGCAGCCGATGCTTCACAGGGAACAGATGGAAAAAGATTAATCTTGTTTAGGGTTTAGGGTTTAGGGTTGAGGCTTTGGACAGAAACAAGACAAGCAGGGGTAAGAATGCCAGGGATTTCAGGAGGCTCATATGTGGGGTAGGGCTTAGACTGAATTGGTAGCTGCTGTAGCTTCTCAGACCTTTCTTGCTATTCATGTTTTATTTGACAGGTTCTTATTGTAGTCCCGAGAGGAAAGGTGGGCGCAGGGCTAGCGGACAGTCAATCCTCCACGATGTTGGAGTAATCAATGCTGATCAGGGTTCCTTCGGCCAGACGGAAGGAAGCTTGAGGGTGTAACTCTATGATGTAATTATTTCTCTTGACTTGGCGGTGGAATAGGAACCGGACTGATGCTCCCCAGAATGGAAATGGAGCCAGGACCATAAGGACCTGTTTTATTAATAAAAAAAAAATAAAAAAAATCCAACAAATTATCATATTATTATGATATTAAGCAGTTTCAGAGTTCCACCAGCGCTCATCAGCGCAGAGTTCGGCAACCCAATTCCAGCATCCTCTTCCAAGGTAGGTGACTCTCTTCTCTCTCTGTCCCCCCCCCTCTCTCTCTCTCTGTCTTCTTCATGCATGCGCCCATTCTCTCCCTCTACTCTCTCTCCGTCTCTATACTTGAGGATCTCGACTCTGAATACACCCGCCACTACTCAGGTCCGCCTCCTCCTACTAGCTGAGCGGCTATGGCCGCCTTCCCTTCCCAGCACAGCACTGCCCAGCAGGGCTCCCGCGCATGCTACTTTGCAGATAGCGCACAAGCACTTCAGCAGCACTTCCACACTTCTCACGGATGAGCAATCTGCCCGAAATGTGGCTGGCCAGTCCTTATATTGACTTGGACTGAGCCTCAACTCGTCCCCAGCCTTTGCTTCCTTTGGCTTGACTTGGACCCAGTAGCACCTACCCACGGCCTGCTCGCTTCAGAATGTCGAAGTCCTGGTACTTAGCCGAATTTTCATTGGTGTGCTGCTGCTTGGGTCTGTGAGTCACGACTTTTCACCTGTGGGCGCATGACTTCTGACCGTGGGATGTGACTCTCGCCTCTGGACACGACTTTTGCCTGGAGAAGCGTCCTTTGCCTGTGGGATATGACCTTTCAACATGAGACGTGACTTTTGCTTATGGAATGCAACTTTTGCCTTTGGGGTGTAACCATTCACCGGGTGCCTGTTGGACTTGACTCCTAACGTCCCCTACTGTGACCTTTCTGAAACTGGCCGACTTGGCTCCTTTTGGCCTGAGACTGTGACGCTGAGATTCGAATTTGGGGTCTGCATCGTGGAACGCCTTCAGCCGCCAGCAATGATGGAAAAAGGGGGGTGCACATGTGTGTGTGTGTGTGCTAGATTTTCACCACAACAGCCCCAGTGCCACCCAGATGGATGGATCCAAATTCCAAGCAACGTTACCGCTATTGCAGACAGTGAAACACACTTGAGATGAGTGTGTGTTCTAAATTTTCACCACAACAGCCCCTATTCCACCCAGATTAGCAGATCCAAAATCAAAGCATATTCAATCCTATTACAGACATAGAAAGCCCTTCAGTTGAAAATCCAACAATGAAACAGTTTCACCTCTATAGCGAGCAACATGACGTACAATAGAGGCATGTAAAGCCCTTTCTTGATTGTGTTCACGTTTGCTTTCTTTGCGGTACCCCTTTCATTGTTCTTGCAGCTCCCCATTTACCGTGCCTCTCATGCACAAGGCTCGCCATGTTGATTGTGGTTGAGTGCGAGATGCCCGCATCCCCATGTGTCATAATAGCCCGCTTGCACAGTATGAAAGGAGGCAGAGCAAAGGTGGAGGTATATTCTTGTTTCTTCTCAGATCTTCAACTTATATTTTGTCTGTTCTCTTAATGACGCTCATTCATATGTATTACTAGTAATACACAAGAGGGAGGAAGGAAATGGGAGGCCGAGTTCTGACAGGGTTCTAAATAGTGACCACTGGGCCAGACCGCTCTAGAATGGCACATGAGGCCAGTCCGTGTGCGTGATGCATACTCGGTACCATCCGAGGGATGCAATGGAGCCAAAGGACCAGCAAAGTGGGACTTGAATGAACAATGCAGCATCAGCGAAGCATCAACAAGCAATGTACATCCATACTCATACAAAAATAGCACAATGTAGCGCAGTGGAAGACTCAAAGATATGACCTGACCCGCCAGACACCGACCCGACTCAGCCCATCACACACGACACATGTGAGAGAGAAGGGTGGGACCACATACATGGAAGAACAGTCCCTCCTTGAGCACGCACATGGGGAGAAACCGCAGATGAAGGGAGAGAGGAGGAGCAGGACGACGATGGAGATGAGGGCGAAGACCAAAGTCACAATAGCGCAGTCCAAAAATAGTCTCCCTGTCGAATGTACAATCAATGTCTGTCCCTGGGATGTCGAATCAGATCCTGGGCCCCATAGGCCGACATAATCTCTGGCTGTAACCTCTCTCTCTCTCTCTCTCTCTCAAAGACGAAGAAGAAGAAGAAGAAGAAGAAGAAGAAGAAGAAGAAGAAGAAGAAGAAGAAGAAGAAGAAGAGGAAGAAGAAGAGGAAGAAGAAGAAGAAGAAGAAGAAGAAGAAGAAGAAGAAGAAGAAGAAGAAGAAAAATATGAAGAAGAAGAAGAAGAACGAGAGGAGGATATGGAGGGCAGGAAGAAGAAGAAGATCTCCACTGCCTCACCTGCCGGTGACTGCTGCCACGTACTAACGAGCTGGAGTGCCCCTCTGTGCTGCAGGTCGCTGGCGAAGGAACCAGGTATGGCACCCGGGTAAGCTTTCTGCACCTCGCAGGTATGGCGACAGCCTCTCCCCTCCCCTCTCCTAGCTCCTACACCTCTACCACTAACTCGAACCATAGCGCAGCCCTGAGAATCGCACGCAGCTCCAGCGGCCTGTCTGTCCAGGAACTAGATTGGCCCAGCTAGATATGGCGCTGGGCCTGGCTCCAATGCCCACGGTCCGCAATCTGGGCCATTGGATCTGAGGTCCGATCGGTGGCCCAGATTGCAGGCCCAAGTCCTGCTCCTGGTCCTAGGCCTGAAAACGGCCTGCCTGGGTCCCTACTGGACGTCCAGGCTCTCCTGCTGATGCAGCAGGAGAAGTCCACTACCGGACGACTCTGAACCTGGCCTAAAATGGCCCAGTCACGAACCTGGCCTCTTAGAGGCCCCAAACGTGGCCCTGGTGTGAACAGACAATAATTTGTTCAGACACACTGCAAAGTCCGAAACGACGCCTTGGAACAGGTAAAAATAGAACAGACGAAAGAGTCAGCAAAAAAGCATAAATAATTTTAAATAAATAAATAAATAAATGCTGGCTCAAGGGAAAAGGACCTGCCTGGCCTACCAGGATGGCCGTGGGCCTCCCGGCCGTGTGCGAAAATTCGGCGCACGGCCCTGGGGACCCCAACAACCGTTGGACCCCGTGTGGCGGGCTCAACATGCAACACCCCCTCTCCTTATGAAGCCGAGCCGCAGGGAGGGCGAAGCTGGCGATCCAAAGGTGGAACCGGAACTTGTGTGCGTCGAGGAGTTGCAGGTGTCGTCTTGGCTTCCTGCTTGCGTTCATACCGTGCGAGGACGTCTGGGGCTGTAGCCTGAAGTTCCGCACGGAACAACCTACGGTCAGCCTTATGGCT